GCTAGGCACTCACACGATAGGCTACTAGTCATGGGTAGGTGCGCACGAGTGCACCAAGCCGAGGGCTTGGGAGTCAAAGCTCGTAGGCCTTCGAGGCTTAAAAGCTCATGGGCTTAAGGCTCGAAAAGTTTTGAAATTAGAATTTAAAAAACTCTTTTTAAATTTATAAAATGACAAAAAAACATAGATTTATAATTGTTTTATGAATGAAATGTATTTCATTAGTGTACATTTATCAATGTGATTGAAGCATAGTGAATGATATGGATGAGTCGAGAGTTTTTTGAAATGAATGTTTGTAATTATTTAGATAAATAGGGCTTACGCATCTTGCCTTCTCATATAATCTATTAATTTCTCTTCTCATCTTACTTCCCTCAAATGTAACTCAAGGTTTCTTATTCAAATAAATATAAAAGTAGAATATAAGAATTAGAATAGATGCAAGGAGAAGATGCCAAGAAATGAAGATATTCTTAAAGAATTTATAATAATTTTTCACTTAAGAATTTGACCCACTAATCTCCTTGTGGCTCGAGGGGGCTAGTATTAGAGATCCATTACATTCATCGATCCTTTATGACATGCATGAGATGTATGTATATTATGTAATTAAAATTAGTATGCATGTTAGGAATAATATGATTATTGATTAGTATACGTGCTTAGGATGAGACCAAAAAACTTAAATCCTTTAAATAAAATATTAAGTTGATTACCTTCCAACATTATGATGAGAGAACTCTCTTGGTCATTGTTGGCTTGTTGAGATAACTCAAGATCACTTCTTTCTCAAGGGAAACAAATCATGAGTCATGTAATGTCTTTGAACATTGGGTCTAACTTAAATGAGTTGTTGGGTTTGTTGAGATAACTCAAGGTCCAATAAACTTGTTTGCAAGGATTGGTATTCACATAAGATATGATATGACAAGAAAATGTCATGCCAATGAGATTATGATTTACATTAGATATAATTAGTAAGGAGTTACCTACCTAATCCTTCATATATGGCTTGTTCGGATAACTCCGAGTTAATGCATGTTAGAGGATAGGTCCTAACCCACTAAGTAAATGAATCAAAATGTTTTCTCGAGTCCTATATTGGAACTTATAGAACTTGAAGAAAATAGTGAGAGCAAATATAGATTTTACTTTTTTGATTTATACTTTGTTTTATTTTATATAATTTAATTAACCAAATTGTACGTTTTTCTATCCTATCAAGGTTGTTGCACGGTATGACCGACAATACATCGATGAGGTCAATGATTAATGGAAATAATGCCTTAAATGGCACAAACTTCCTTGACTAAAAAATGAATAAGAGGAATGTCCTCCAACACGGAAAAATGCTCTATACGATAGGCGATAAAGAGTACCATGAAAGAGTGTAAAAGAAGAGTTCGATAACACCTCAAGTATTCATGTTATTCAAGTAAACTTTTCTACTTCTAATCCCACATCATGGATATTTGATATTGGATATGGTGTACACATTTGCATAAATTTAAAAGGAATAAAAAAGGCTAAAAAGACTACTTCTTGTGTGGTCGACTTATGCGTGGGTAATGGTTCAAGAATTATACCATTAGTGGTAGGCACCTATGAGTTAGCACTACCATCGGGACTTGTGCTTATACTCAAAAACTCGTTATCATATTTCTAGTATGACTAAGAATATCATTTTCATTTCTTGTTTGGACCAAAACGGTTTTTCATTTTTATTTAAGAACAAAGGTTGTCCTTTTTATAAAGATGATGTTTTATATGGAAATGCTTATATAAATAACGAGTATAAATTTTTTTAAACGTAGACACACCTATCTATAACATAAATGCAAAAAGACTCAAAACTAATTATCTAAACAAAACCTATATGTGGCATTGTTGACTTGGCCATAAAAATGAAAATCGCATATCCAAACTACATAAAAATGAATATTTAGAATCATTTTATTATGAATCTTATGATGTTTGTGAATCTTGTTTGCTTGGCAAAATAACAAAAACCCTTTTTAGGGGAAAAGGTGAAAAAGCTACTAATTTGCTAAGCATAATATATAGTGATGTATGTGGGCCCATGTCCACCCATGCTGAAAAAGGATATAATTATTTCATAACCTTTATCAATGATAGATCGTATTTCGGTTATGTGTATCTCATGTAACATAAATCGAAGCATTTAAAAAGTTCAAAAAGTTTAGGTTTAAAGTTGAGAAACAAACGGACAAAAGTATTAAATCACTTGATAAGGTGGAGAATACTTAAGCACTAAATTTTTAGATCATTTAAAAGAAAATGAGATTCTCTCATAATGGACTCCACTCGGCACACCATAAATTAATGGTGTGTCCAAAATAAGGAATAGGACATTATTAGACATGGTCTAATCCATGATGAATCAAAATTGATATTCAAATTTCATTTTAGGGATATGCACTCCTTATGATGATATTTATTTTGAATAAGGTTCCAACAAAGTCCGTTGATTAGACTCCATATGAGATATGAAAAGAAAAGAAAGCAAATTTGTCTTTCCTTAAGATCTAAGGTCTGTGAAGCATATGTCAAATGTTTAAATGGAGACAAGCTTGAGCCAAAATCAACAAAGTGTAAATTTATGGGATATCAAAAGAAACAAATGGATATTGCTTTTACTAACCATAAGAACAAAAAGTGTTTATGGCTAGGCATGTTGTATTCCTTGAGAAGAAATTTATAGATGCTAAAACTAGTGAGAGGAAGGTTGAACTCCATGAGATTCAAGAAGACTCACAAATTGACACTCCACTAAAGGAATCCCAAGTAGAAAAGTTACGAAGCGTTATAACTATCCCACAAATCAATACACAAGAACTTCGCAAGTCTAAAAGCATTCATCAAGAGCCGGAAAAAAAATGGCCTTTTATAGCTTCAAGTAATAATACATCCACTCTTCTAGAGCTTTAAAAATTTATCTCTTAAGGTTATAATATAATCGTTTTTCTAGAACTTTCAAAATTTATCTCTTTAGATAATAATATAGTCGTACTTCTAGAGCTTTCTATTATATTGATAGTATCATATATAATATTAACATAAAATAAATAATCAAATAAATCAATACAAAATAAATACATAAATATATTCATCATAAATACAAACAAATAAATAAATAGTAAAATAAATTTGTAACCATCACTATACGATATAAAAATGACCTTCATATTTTACTCTTTATTTTTCAATAAGGCTTGACAAGGCTCAATGAGGTGCTTTGGTATACGATAAGTACATAACCAATATTCATTTATTTCACATCTATGATATTTATTTTTCAGAATACTAACTTTATCTATTTTTATTCCTTTTTTTTCATAGTTATCCATTTCGATGGTGATATATAATATTATGGTCATCATAATTATAATGATAACTATTTCGATTATGTCCATGGCTATGACCAAATCTTTGTCTATGCCCAAAATTATTATAAGTTGAAAATTCACTTCGGGGAATAGGGTAAATCCAGTTGGATGAGATTTATTCATTTTCCCAATAGCTTGTCATTTTATTTAGCAATGAGCACATATGAAACCGATTCAGAATATTTCTTAAATTCATTTTCTCGATATTGCTACTGCATGAGCATATTCAAGATATAAAAAGTAGATAATATTTTTTCAGAATCAAGCACTCATAATCAATCATTCTTATTTTAAATATCAAGAGCCATAAAATCGGGTTTCGAGGTTTGATATGATAAAAATTATATAATATAATATATAATAATAATATTAAAAAATAAGAATAAATATAATAATAAAATTAAAGCTTTTCAAACAACATATAATAGATCATTAGATTCTATATATTAAATCATTTAAGTTTTTCAAATGTATATTCTATATATCATTATATTTAAAATACATAATAAATTAAATACATACCTCTTAATGATCTAAATAATTTAGATCTTTTGGTGGAGCACTTGTGTAGAAGAAATTCAATGATTGAAACAATTAATTAAGTCTTTTAGTAAATAAATACCTCATGATTTATTATCTCGATTGGTTAAAGCTTCGTGCCGATAACGTGTTATAAAAGAAATAGAAATATTAGGAGAATTGAATAGAAAAATAATAAAGAAATGATTTCACTATAATAATCAATTTCATCACCCTTTCAATTTCTCATATTGAATGATGAATTGAATCATATTAAGAATCATGGGTAGCGAAGATATGAAAAGTAGATAAACATAATGATGGATATTCATTATTTCATAACATTATTATTATTATTATTATTATTACACCCTTTTTAGTGACAAATCATCATTAGGATTACAATATTTCAGCATTTTGATGCAACTCGAGTTCCGTGGGAGTTGAGACGAATGAGAAACAAGTACATGCCGATGAATGAGCTGAACATGGATTATGACTTACTCTACCCGGAAGCCAAACGTGGGTGAATGTGGTTCATTTTAAAATGTTTAACAATATATATATATATATATATAGACTAGCTTACGTAGAATGATTTTGAAGGGATGCATGACTATACGGCGTGGAAGGAAAAACAAAAAACAAAATGGACCTCCAACAAGTAGGGGTGAGTAAACGGTTAAACGGTTCGGTTAAGCTTAATTCGGTTCGGTTTTTGGTTAACCGAATTAGAAAAAATAAAAACCAAAACCGAACCAAACTAAATTCGGTTAATTCGGTTTGTAACCGAATTATTTCGGTTCGGTATTGAAATAATTCGGTTATAACCAAACTTTTATTCCCGTGAAAGATTTTTATTTTTATGGTATTAGAAACTAATTTAGTATTAAAAAAATATAATAGTACATCCTAAAATTGTTTGCAAGTCATTTATAAACTAAGATGACAATCAAAGTTCCAAGATAGTGAACTAAGACAACAATGAAAGTTCCAAAACATTCGACGAGAAGGTTCCAAGGATAACATGATTGATGACCATAAATTGGATGCTAACCTAGTAACTCCGCTCTAACGGAGGCACAGAGCCGCTTTCGGTAAGCTTACCGACCATTCACATAAAGAAACAACCACAAGGCTAATATGTGATTGGCTAATTGGCCACCATCAACCATCATGACAAATATCGGCATTGCTCGTATAATAAAACCAATCCTAATCACCCAACAAACAACAAATTAAAGTCTAAAATTGCAAGAAAACTAAACAACTCATCTAAAATCAATAAACTCAAAAATAAAAAGAATGCACTAGACTCACCAAACCGGACGCAAGCAACCGAAGGCACTAGGCGAGAAGAAGACATAGACACGTAGCAATCGAAGGCAGTAGATAGAATCACGTAAACACTAGAAGGTAGACGGCATTAAGCGGAACCAATCAACCGGACACATCGGACGCACCAAATAGCCAAATATTGACGAGATACAAATCATACAACATTCAACAAATATGGAAATATGGAAAGCAACATTCAACATTCTTACTTAGACTTTGAGTCTTTGACTACCAACAATCCAACACCTCAAAGAACGTAAAAAAAGAAAAAAGAAAGATTCATCAACAATACAACATACTTACATACCAAAATCTAGATTAGAAATGACTACACATCCAAAAACCATAAAGAAAATTTCTCACAATAAAGAGTCTTGCTTGTAACCTTGGACAACCTCGAGCCTTTCGAGCCTCCTTCAACAGCTTGGTCGACTCGGAGCGTTGGACATTGTCGGACATCCAATGGACACTTGGACGACCTTGATATGTGTAATGAAAATTTAATTCAAGGTCGAGTAGGCGAGAGGCCAGTAGCATTGACCAAGTGTAAGTCAAACATCCAACCATGCATAAGCAACGTAAATAAAAAAATCAATCTTAAAAACTTAATAACTTACACATATGATTCAAAAAGCCAAAACACTATCGAGTAATCAACCAATCAAACATTTGTAGTAGAGTTAGTGGCACCGGCAATTGGTAACTCGAAAAATAAAAGATAAAAAAATTAACCCTTTATCATTAATATATAGGAAAGAAATAACAAATTAAATGATAAGAGTTATAGAAATTACCATTTTGTATTTTCTCTACATCTTGTAAATTTTCTTCAATAATAATTGGCGTCGATGAATTTTTAATCCAATCTTGCACATATAAGAGATTCCACTAAGGTAGGAGTTAAAGAACTCCTAAAGCAAGTCAAGAACTCTTCCTCCGGTGCTAAATGTCGATTCCGAGGAGACCGTAGAAACAGGAACCGCTAATACATCCCTAGCCATTTGTGAAAGGATGGGAAACCGAGGAGCATTGGTTTTCCACCACTCTAAAATCTTGAAATCAGCACTATTATTTTCAGCACTTTCATCAAGATATTTGTCCAACTCCGTTTTATTTCCTCCACTTCCAATATCATACTTGTATTTTTCAAAACGCATCATTATCTCCATTTTTATTCTATTTTCTTCATCAATCATTTCTTTATTTGCACAATCCACATCTATTCCCCAACTCCCACTAGTTTGGCCAATTTCATCTTGAGATGATGAATGACAATAGAAATCATACATGGCATTTATAGATCCCTTCACAATATTTGACATATTTTGACCCTCTAAATCACCATACAATTCCTTGATTGAAAATTCAATAAATACAAGTTTATGCGTAGGATCAAGTATTGTCGCAATATAAATCAACTTATTCATTTTTTTAATATCCCCCCAATACTTCTCAAACTTTTCCTTCATTTTATTAGCCAATGCAAAATCATCCAAATCCTCACTTCATTTCCATTTTTTGAAAACATGTTCAAGCGCATAAATCTCTTCAAAAAAAATATTTGAAGTCACATATAAGGAACCCGAAATGCGTAAAGTAAGGTTGTAAAAAATTTTCAACATGCCCACCATCTTCTTACAAGTCTTCCAATCATCCACATTAGGTGGCCCAACAACATTATCACCAAGATCTACATCAAATTCACTCCTATATAAAGGATCAATTTGCTCATATCTCTTAAAAGCTCTCTCAAACTTTAGAGCCGACTCTAACATCAAATATGTTGAATTCCACCTAGTTGCGACATCTAGTTGTAACAAACTCTTAGAATCAATTTTCTCAAGTTGAATGCATTCCTTAAATCTTCTCAACCTAGCTGGAGATTGCCTCACAAACCTAACGACTCGATCGAATACGAATGATCGAAGGATTAAAATGTTTTAACCCATCAGCGAACAACTAGATTCAAAGTATGTGCCATACACCTCATATGAATGAATTCTCCATCTAAGATGCTATAACCCCAATTCTTAATCACATCTTTTAAGTGTCTAATTGCCACATCATTCGAACTTGCATTATCGATCGTAACACTAAAAACCTTCTCAATTCCCCAATCAATCAAGCACTTCTCAATGGCAATACCTAAATCTACTCCTTTATGACTATCAATCGGACAAAAATTCAAGATCTTTTTATGCAACTTCCAATCATTATCAATAAAATGAGCAGTTAAACATATATAATTGATTCTTTGAATAGATGTCCATGTGTCCGTAGTGAGGCTAATTCTTTGACTATTTTGTTTCAAAAGTTGCTTCAACTTTATTTTCTCATCTAAATAAAGTTGATAGCAATCTCTTGAAATTGTAAAACGAGATGGAAGTTTGAATCTAGGTTGCAAATTAGACAAAAACTTTTTGAATCCCCTACCCTCTATATGCTTAAATGGAAGTTCATCTAGAATGATCATTTCAACTAAATCTTTTCTACTAACAATTTGATCAAACTTCCATGTGCTAAGATTATTTTCTCCCACTTCAAGCCTTCTAAGGTCTAATTGAGTTTGTGTAGAGTCAATACAACTAAAAGGGTTTTTTTTACAAGTCAAAATATGAGACCTAAGTGAGGTTGTCCCATTTTTTGAAGGATTACAAGCAAATACCTTAGCACAATAGTTGCATTTAGCCTTCATGTCTTTATTTTCATCTTCAAACTTTGTGAAATGGTCCCACACCATCGATCTTGGCTTCATTGATTTCCTCTTCTTTCCTTTGACATCTTCTTGATTGTTAATTGAAGTTGGACCTACACCTACACTTGATTGTGTATTAGGATTGCTTGAACTCACATGTTCATAATTCATCTCTTCGGATTGAGATTGTGACATCTACATAAATAACAAAGGAACAAGAGTATTAAGCTTCACACTCTTAAATAATCAAAAAACATAATAAATATACACAAGTTGCCAAGTTGGTAGCATAATATGGAATGGAACTCGCCTACTCGTTGATAACCACAAAAAAGTAGTCTAACCCTCAAATCAAATATAGGCGGATGCTACCGCTCTCGCCTTAACAAAAGGAGTGTCCAACTATCCATACCGAAGAGTGAAGACAGCTTAGACACTTAGACAAGTAGTAAAATTGGGTAGAATTCTATAAAATCCTTCCCTAAATCAGTAGCAAACAAAAAAGTAGTCTAACCCTAAAATTAAATATAGGCGCATGCTACCGCTCTCGCCTTAACAAAAGGTGTGTCCAACTCGTCCATAATGAAGAGTGAAGACAAGTAGACACTTAGACAAGTACTCAAAGTTGGGTAGAATTCTAGAAGATCCTCCCTTAAATCAGTAGCAAACAAAAAAGTAGTCTAACCCTATAATAAATAGCTTAATAGCTTTTATACACAAAACAAATGCTATTAAAATTACATGGGTATATGAAAAGGTATGTTCATTTTTTTTTCGAATTCATTCAGTAATTAAACTCTATTCATTTAATTATGTAGAAATTTTAAGCATTCATTTCATCTATCCAATTTTTGGTTATATGTATGCGATTAAAAGAGAGAAAATGAGAAGATAAATGAAGAAAGATTGCTTAACAACAATGGACAGTTCTTTGTGGATAAGAATTTAGCTTAGTTTTACTTGTGTGATGCCAAATTCTAAATGAAATGATGAATTACAGGTTTTAATGATTCTTTCAAGACTAAATGAAGATTAACAACAGCTTAAAGATTTTAACAACTATCAATTTTAGAATTAGTTATGCAAATCAAGAACCAAGCAAGAAGAACAAAAAATAAAGTAATCAACGAGAGAAATCAGCAAGAAGAGTAAATTCAATATTGATCTAAAATGACAGAATAGCTCTTTTACAATGAATTACTCATGATTTATACGAGTGTTTATTTCTAACTAACTTTCCCTCTCAATCTAACAACCAAACCAACTCTTGCCATGTTAGCTTACTAACTCAACTCCCTCCCTAACGGCTACCATTCACATCCTCATGTGCTCTTTAGTCTTTCCTTTCAACCGATTCCAGATTTCCATACATCTATTTGCTACCTTATTGATTGTTTCCAAGCTTCCTATTTCCTGTCCTCTACATGGTAACCGGACTAGCACCACTAGGGGAGGATCCATATTAGCTAAAACAGATCGATCATGACACTATTATACTAATAAATTAGACTAACAAACTCACTAACCAATCATGACACTATTTAATCACATGACCGATAAATTATACTAACAAACTTACTAACCAAATCTGCAGAGTTTAGGTTTTGCTTTGGAACTTGGAAGCTCGAATAGTCAAAGATCCATCACATGCCTCACACATAAATTTTGAATTGGAAAAAGAGATAAACCTTCTAGTCCAAAAGCAAAAACAAAAATATTGGAGAAAATATTTCTTCCTCCCTCTCTGTCTCTCTATATATATGATATTGCAAGCAAACATAACTACACAAGTCCTCCTTTTCACTCCATGAAGACATCTTATGAGCCAATAAAGCAATGAAATCTAGCCGTTTGAGATCGGCTCGCTATTATCCGCACAATGTCCGCAATAGTATCGCTTCTCTCAACTCGGGGCTAATCTAGCTCAAGCAAGGATCCCGCCACCACCTTCTTTGGTTTCAACAAAATCACCAACCTCTCAAGTTCTTGTAAATTCAAAGTCACATAAAAACGTGCCAAACACAATACGGACAGTAGCTCCTAGCCTTGGAAAAATACCCCTAGTGGTGGCGTGTGCTAATCCCATCCGGAACAAGTAATCATTTCATTATTCATTTGAAAGGAAAGAAAGGAAAACAATCAATAAAAGAGAAAACAACATAAAGTGCAGAATGGGAAGCTTGATAACCATGTTAGCTAAAACAGAAAAATGCCGAAACAAACAAAGAAGAGAAAAGAAAATAGGAGTTAGACATGAACAAATCGTCACCCTTACCCTAGCTAAAACCAAAACACAGACTTGATAACCAAAGTAACACAAATAAAGTGCAGAATCACATACTCCAAAGCAACCAAAAAGGAAAACAGATCACGGATGCCAACAGGACACAATAAACATTTCAAGGCAAGGCTTCGAGCTTCCAACCAAGATAACACCACAGCTTATCAAAACTCACTAAGGAATCTAAAAAACAACATAATATATACCTAATACACTCGTTGTTATCACATATCGTGCAAAAAAAAATTAAAATAAAAGAGACTAACCTTGAAAGACACGAAGCTTGACGAAGGAAGATTAGAAGAGGATCGGAGCTCGAAGGACTTGTCGTCACCTGGAGTGGAGAGTGAAGAACGACAGAAGAAGAGTGAGGCTTTGAGAGTGCGAGATCCGTGAAAGGCCGAGAGTGCGAGAGACGAAGAAAGACTTCATCGTCACCTGGAGTGGAGACCGGAGAGTGAAGAATAGCGAGCAGAAGACTTGTGTTGAGAGTGCGAGAGACGAGAACGAGAGAGACCGATTTTGCTCGTTCGTCGGCGAGCTTGCTCGGAATGCTCGGGCGGCGACGGTGGCCGACCGGCTCGTCGCGTGACTTCGTCTACCTCAAAAGGAAAGGAAAGACGAAAAAGGCGACTAAGGGTAACTGGGTCCGGGTAAGGGAGACAGGGACAGGGAGAGTCGGAGGCGGAGAGGGAGGCGAGAGCTACCGAGTGTCCGAGTGTGAGATAGCGAATTAGGGTTAGATGATTAGGTATTTAGATATTATTCACTTATTCGGAATTAGAATTAGGAATAAAAAAAATTGTTTTCGGTTCAAATCGTTTCTTAAAAAAAAAAACCAAACCGAACCGAAATTATTTCGGTTTTTTCGGTTCGGTTATAAATTATACATTTTTTAATTTATACCCATACCAAATTTCACAATTCGATCCGGTTTAATTCGATTTTCGGTTAACCGAACCGTTTGATCACCCCTACCAACAAGCATTCAAATCTGGACAAATTTCTCAATTATACAAATTAATTTTTAACAATATCAACATTCCCCGCACTTTGTCCGCTTTACAATTTAAAAATCCAATTTTAAAGTTCACCAATCTGTTCTTTGGATGTCGGTGGATGGTCGGAAACTTCCCGTGGCTCCCCATTTCGAGATTGTTTTGCATATAAACACATACATTACTATAGGAGTGTAAACACATAATCTTTATAACCGAACCGTGATGGTTCTAAATCATACATATCTAATAATTATATTATTATAAATAAGCTATTAAATTTGGGGTGGATTGCACTATTCCCTTAGACTTGTATGTAATATTTATTTTTACTACACAATGGTATTTTTATGATTTTTATTTTTAATATTCATATGTAAATTTAACATTATATGTCATTTTGATTTTTGAAATTTTCAAAAGATGGTTTTTGTTCCTAAATGGACTAGGAGTGCATGCTTGCCTTCGTTTTTAGCTTTTATTTTTTTTCTTTCACTAATTTATTTTATTATTATTATTATTATTATGAATTATGAAAACCTAATTGTTATTTTTTTTAGTTTTTTTATTCGGGATGACGATTACGAAATATATGCATTATGTTTACATATTTTAGAATAAACATATCTATCAAATTATATTACTCTTACCTGTTTAAAATTGATATCTTCAATTTATCATTTCTAATGAAAATTCTTATCAAATTATTTTTTATTCTTCTTTTTTAAGTAATTTTATTTGTTAATAAATATAATTTATTTTTTTCAATGTATGGATTTTCAAATAATTTTCTTAAATAAAATAATCAATTAAAATATAGAAATCATGTGTTTTATTTGCTTATTCTTTATATAATCAAAATTTATCATATTTAATTTTAAGATTGTTTTTATTGAAATCTATTAACTTCAATAAATTCTATACACTCTAACCCATTGAGTATGATCATAATGTATATGAAAACAAAATAAGATAATTGATTTTATTGAAAATTAACTATACATTTACAAAAATAACACCAACCAATTGCTATTACTTCTTTTTTAATATTTTAAAATTAATTTTTTTCAAATAAAATAAGGACAATAATGTTGTAGAAGAACACCTACTAATTCAAATACAATTTTTTACAATAATGTTATTGATTACTTTATATATATATATATATATATATATATATATATATATATATATATAATCAAAAAGCTAGTCTTCTCATCAACATTAATAAAAAAAATTATATTTTAAATTTACATAAATTTTTATATTAATCATTGCTTTATTTTTTTTATGCAATCTTATGAAAAAAAATATTAAGATGTTTTATAAAATGTTATATTTTATTATTATAAATTTTTATTTAAAAATAAATACATAAGGAAGAACATATATATATATATATATATATATATATCGACTAATAATATAATACAAACTATCAAATTAAAATAACTATATTTTATTCAATATAATGGGAGCCAAACAGTCACGTACTAATTGTGTAGTACATTTATATATTACATTATAATCACGAAGGAGATCATTGATGGCAATTTTTTTTAAAAGAAATGTGTGCCTAACCTATAGCTGGATGCCACTATTATTTATGAGTCTACTATCAAGTGAAGTGGGACTGCTTTGATCCAAAAACTAGGTCATCAAGCATGAATTTGTTTGCCTTGGCCATTTGCTTCATGCCAAATTAAGCCATTGAAGTTTGTAATGGCCAAACGAAGTCCTCTAATATAAGCCACACGTTTATTTTCTAATTAATTTATTTTTTTATATGCACATCTTAAATTTGATTTCCAGCTATATATATATAGAGAGAGAGAGAGAGATGAGTTTTAAATTTAAAACCGAGGCCAAGTGAATTGGAAGGTTCATGTTGAATCTTCTTCTATTCCTGAAAAAAAAAAAAAATGCTCAACCTTAGAAAAAAAAAAAAAAAAGGGTAATTATTCCTTGATACTATGCAATTATATTTACCTTCATATACTTTAATTCCAACGATCATATCAAAAGAAAATAAAATTGAAAATCATATTATTTTGGACTACAAAAGATACTGCTAGAGTGGGCCTAATATTCTAATTAAGGGCCAGGCCTGAGAACCTTTATCTTGGACTATCTAGGCCAGGCTAGGCTTAAGCAGACAAAGTGGCACAAGGCCCCAGCAAAAAATTTCCCAAGACTCTCTCCACGTGAAGTAGGCCCGCACGTCACTTCAAACTGCCAAATTCCTACTCACGAAACAGTTTGTTGAATTAGAGAAAAACTTTGAGCTTTTAAAAAAATATGATGCTAACTTCTAAGCCAGTTTTTGAAAAGGAGGGGAGAGGGAAAAAAAAAAAAAAAGGGTGAACCAAAATTCTAACTCTAATGTTTGATGCTTTCACGTAAGTACAAGAACTGGCTAAGGACTAAAAAAACGAGGCAGATATCTGAATCACTACTTTGAGATTGTCTTCGTACCAGAAATCCTCATATATATATATATATATATATATATATATATATATATAGCAGCAGACTATAATGCTTCTGCTGAAACAAAAGTAGCACATTTCCAAAAATTGCAATATCCAAATTTGTGTTTAAAAACGTGCCTTAACAGTACCTCACTGTCCTAGCGTCCCGTCACTTCAGCATTTTCAAACCCTTGCACAATTCCATTATTTCATGAACGTGTAAGGCCAAGTGATGGTGAAGTACGTAGTTTGTCCATTATATGGGTGGCTCCCAGTGGTTGGTTATCATTTTCACATGCGGCATATCAAATTAGGCACTGAAAAAAAAAAAAAAAAATTGTTTGGAAAGAAGATCAAAGATGGAAGATGAATAAAATATAAAGGATTACTACAAGTCATAAGGTAAAACATTTGAAACCTCATGGTCCTCATCCCTAATAAATATTGATGCATCAGCATTAGCAAAAGCAGGATGTCTACAAGGGCACATATATTTTATAGACCACAATAAATGGTGGCATACCTATTTACAATTTACAGGATGCCATAGTCCTGCTCAGAAACTCAAACTAATAAACAAAATATCCCAACAAAATCTTGGTAAAAATTACAGTACATTTTTTCAGCACCATGATTCTAAGTGGAAATATAGAACTGGTCTCGTAGACACACTGGAAAAAAAGATTTCAGAACACTATCTGTTTGCTAACACAGCTTCAGGGTGGTAATGAAGCATCTCATCCCATATCATCTCCCTAATCATATGTTCCCCAAGATTCTCATCTATGTCAAGATTGATTGGGACCTGTGCAGGCGGCCCTTGTCTTGGATCATACAGCCCTGACATGTAAGGGTGTAGAAGTGCTTCTGTCACCGTAATTCTCTTAGTAGGATCAAACACCAGCATCCTTCGCAACAAGTCTATGGCCAAACGATCAGCTTGAGGGTAGAGAAGTGAAAGATGGGCTCCCCTTGCATAAGGAAGTGTTTTGATGTACCTTCTGGCTTTTGGGTTATCAATGAACTCAAGATCAGTATCATTCTGGCTCCCAAGGACACTGATAATTAGCTTCAGCTGGTTAAGACACTCTGTTCCAGGGAAGATAGGTTTGCGACCAAGTATCTCAGCAAAGATACACCCAACAGACCAGACATCAATGGAGGTTCCGTAGTTGTCACAGCAGAGTAGCAACTCAGGTGCACGATACCAACGGGTGACAACATACTCAGTCATGAACTGTTCATTGCCTCTGCTAGTTCGTGCCAGCCCAAAATCACATATCTTCAGGTCGCAGTTAGCATTGACAAGGAGATTTCCAGGCTTCAAGTCCCGATGAAGAATGTTTGCTGAGTGGAGATAATTCAGCCCACGTAGCAACTAAAATATTTGATGAAGATTAGATGCTACCAGAACAATATTGAGAAGAAAAACAAATCGATTGCTATGCATGGCACCACATTTAATCATTATTCAGGAATAGTATCGCTGGTTATGCTATGTTAAAGCACCGCTATCAAGTTTATTTAAAAAGAATGTAAGCCATTGTCATTATTTTGCCAAATCCATTAACATCTTCGAACGCAGTTTCTTGAGCCGTTCGTTCACACATGAATAACTCAGTTAAGTCTGCAACCAGGGAAGCCAACAGAGAATGCAGGGCATTTCTTACTCACAAAGAAAGCAAAACAAGGGAATCACAAATGGCCCTTGTTTTACAGTAAAATGAAGAGAATGTCCCTCACATCCTGCTCTGGCACCCAGTGAGTGTGAGTAAACATGAATCACAGAACTCCGCAGCAAAGAATTTTTTCATCAACTTTGCTTGAACTATTGCTTTTCTCTCATAGTATCATAAAATGTTGAATCCAGATACAATTTTTGTAACCAGCTCTACATATTCTTAATAGAACTTCAATAACTGTTCAATATTTTCCTTCTGGATTCGAACTTTTAATGGGGCATGAATACAGAGTAAGCCAGAAACTCAACAAAAGCACTGAAACTATAGACACTATATATTATAAAAGAGTGGTCAATTATAGGTAAACAAATTTGGTGGGTTGCATACCCCAATGAAGTGGAGAATCAAACAGACAAAGCAGTAACCAGGCCCATGATTTGTGATGACACCTTCAATACAAAGCCGAGTCTGATAATACCCAATAGTGTTAACCAAGATTTACTCATGGTAACAGTTTATGTGTAAGCATGCATTGTTTGCCAAAGTCTTACATATATTGATTGAGATGAAAGCCTATAGACCAAAACTACCAAATATAACTACTATTGAATGGTCAGCTACAGCTTAATCTTTTTTCTGAGTGTCATAATATGATAACTGTTATCAATTAGTTTGATTCTTTCTTAAATAAATTTCACCGTGTAAACAACCTAATACTGTTGTCATTACAAGATACACCAGTATCTCCTGGCACAACACTAGATTAAAACATATAATTACAGAGCTAAAATGCAGGCATAATTCCCGATTGAAAACACATTCTGCCAGACAAATTATTAATATCAGCAAGAAGTTGACATCGCAAGACAAGCTGAAAGAATAACACACTTTTATACCACTACCACTTGAGCGAGAATATTTACCTGAAATAAGAAATACTTGCAATGGTCATTGGAAAGTGGTTGTGAGGACTTGATAATCTGATGCAAATCTGTATCCATGAGTTCATAAACCAAATACACATCCTTGAAACTTGTCCTGTGAATAGGCATCATAACATCCTTCAAAGCAATCACATTCTCATGCCGAATATGTCTAAGAAGCTTCAACTCTCTGAGAGTCCTCAAAGCATCAATCTTGTTCTCAAACACGTTATTGATTTTCTTGATGGCAACTTTCTCATTTGTTTCCCTATTAATCGAAGAGCAAACAACACCATAAGCCCCTCTACCTATAGGCTTAATCGGAACATACTTTGAATCAACCTCAAACACTGTTTGCCACATTGAGTAATATTGCTTTCCTCTTGACCTAATTCCATTCGGAGGCTCCACTAAAGTTGCCATTTCCCTGCAAATTGTCATTAGAAAATCTTAAAACTCCACAAAATCTCATCAACATTCACATAAAAGGAAACCCAATTCACTTACTTACCAATTAAAGCAATACATCTAATCAAGTAACAACTTTGAGAAAACTCAAAGACACGCACACAATGAACAAGCTATAGTAAATATATATACAAAGAATAAAGAAAGGGAGCGGAATTGATACTTACTTGCCGCAGTCTTTGATCTTTTGAGATCACCTACTTGCTTGTAATGTTATTCTCTGTGTCTGTAGCTTTTCTTTCTAATAATTTAATCACAAAAAATACAACTCCCACTTTTAACGGATTCCTCTGAAACAAAGAAAGCAAATTCAAAAAGCAACAAAGTCCTGAACTTTCACCTCCAACTCTTGCTTAATCTCACAAATAAACAAACCCCGTTAAATTCTGTTCCAAATCAAGCCAAGAATCACATGATCACAATCTAACCAAAACTCAAAATCCTTTCGTTTTCCCTCTACACAACCAAATTGCAAAACTCTTAAAATCCAGAAACCAATTTGCGTTCAAATAAGGAGCCTATACATAAAAAGCACAGTATTTTCCATAATTCAGTAGAAATGGAGCTGGAGATCTTATCTATGTAGTGAAAGGGATAAAATCTGATCTGATCTAACAGGATTTTGTTGGACACTCTATCTTGTCATGATTAGAACAAGGGGAAGGAGAGGAGAGGGGGCAGTGGTGAAAGACGTGAAGGCAACAAGGCAAATCGTGACACAAAAAGACAGCTATAACGTGATTTGCTTTGGGTTTTAGGAAACTTCACCTTTCTCTTCATGCACAAACAAAAATGCAGATACATCTGCCTATTGCTTCTCAGTTGACGGCTTTAGTTTAGCTTGGCTTTGGCTCCCTCAGGTCTTTCCTACTATATTTTGGAAACAACAAAGCTAGGGCCTTAGTCTAACCGGTAACGGCTAAATTTATTTTCGTTTGACAAAAAATTCCAAATTTTTTTTTAGGGCTCTATTTATTTGATGAAAAATAATTTTTATAGAAAAATCAATTCTTGAGAAAATTATTTTTTAAAAAAATATTTTCTGTCATTTGACAATTACATGAAAAAACTCCCGAAATATATATTTCACCATTTATTTGAGCTGAAAAATATATTTCGAATTTGTTTGATACAAAAAATTAAAATACAAAAACGAGTATGAGATTGTTACATCAATAATTTTTAAAAAAATTCAAAAACGCATATTCATAATTTCATAATATAAGATACATTTAAAAAAATTTAATAAATTTTCATAAATATCGACTCTAAAATTTTAATTTAAAAAATAAAATATACTTTTTTAATCATCAAATCAATTCATCAAAATTACTTTGGACAAAATCAAGTTAATGTTCATATTTAGTAAAAAAAAAAATCTAAATAATCCTAACATTGTTATTTTAATAACTCAATTAAGAATTCTTTTTTAGAAATTGAATTGATAAGTTAGACTAAAAAATAATTTTATAAATTATTAGTTATCATTTGTAGACAATTATTCATTTGGTTTCAAAGCATTAACGTTGGAATAATTTGTAACAAATTATTCACTATAATTACCAACAAAATTTTATAACCGATTAAAATTACAAATTATTGATTTAGTTACAAATGAATAGTATTGAAAAAATAATGTATTTATTAATGAATTAATTAATTTTAAATTTTTTTATAAAAAATTAAAGTCTTGTAATAATCATTTTCAATAATTTAAGTATATTGTCGGTGGTGTTTTAGATAATAGTAAAAAATAAAGATAAAGTATTAAAATATTTATTATAAAAATAATTTTAAGGTGTAAAAATGGTTTTTAAGAATATTTAATGTATCTATAAATCAAAAAATTAAATATTAGTAAAAATAGAGAAAAAATAATTAAATAATAATTGATAAGAAATAATTAAAAATTAATTTGATATATTTTAAATAAAAAAAGATAGAGAAAAAATGTTAAAATATATCGAAAAAAAGGTAAGTAACGCAAGACCAAGACGACTCGTAAGAAGGAAAATATTTTTCTCTTTTTAAACTAGGAAAACATTTTTTCAAGAATACTCTATCATTTTTTGTTGACTTTTTTCTAAATACGAAACAAACACTCGAAAAATGAGAAAAACAAGTTTCGAACAAAACACAGACCTAGATATTATCTAAACAACTTTCACACAATAAGAGCGCGAGAATAGTTCATTTTTTGGGTCCATTAAAACAACCCATTTATTAAAATTAAAAAATTAAAGAATTTTTTTATAATCTTAATAATTCAACGTAAAATCAATCATTTAAAATTTAAATGTTTCAAATTTTTAACTTCAAAATAAACGAATTAAGTCCTATAGTTGAAAAAGCAAAAAAAAAAAAATCAAATAAGAATATATTTATAAATAATAATTCCATCTTATTTCCTTAAACAAGAAAAAAAATATCGGTACTATAAAATTAATTGAATGTATTTTTCTAATATAAATTTAATTTGATGGTACTTATCTTAATCAATAAAAAAAATACAACTTTTGAATCCAAGTCCTATTTCTCTCGTTGTTCACTAAACCTAAGAAAATATTTATAGTATTGGTTCTCTATAACAAAATTAAAAAATTAATATATTTATTCTAAAACTTAAGAATGTTTCATTATCTCGTTGTCTATTTTGTATGAAAGTTAAAATATTAGATCTATCTTATATATATATAAGGATCATCAATAATATCGAGGTGCGAAATCAAAAAAAAAATTTCTCCTTTATATAAAGTCTCAAAATCAGCCATTAAATCAACTAATTATATATTAACAAGATAGATTAGATGTTACCTTTAGTGGCACATAACCAAATTAGTGGATTGAACCGTCTAAGCATCCGGTCTCTACCGATAATCCACACGGTTAAGCACTCACACAAGAAGCAATAGAAATAATAGAGTGCTAGCTCCAATCTTTTATGCTATATATATTTTCTCTTAAAGAAATCTCTTAAAAGTTGCATAATGTATTAAGAGAGGAGAGGGTGGCGGGTTTATTTATTCTATTGTACCGAGAGATGTGCAAAATTTTCACTTATTGTTATAGAGATTTATGTCTCTCTCTCCCTCTCACTTATATAGGTGGCAACTACTCCTTTTTAGAAAAAGAGTTGTAACTTATGTAGTCTTTGTTTATCTTATCCTCGTAAACTCGAGCCTTATCCTTAAGTGCCGAGAATTATTCCTCCACTTAAAATACCTTGCGTACTTTTACTTAAGCTTGTTGGCCCTTTTACCCAATAACTCAACAATTAATTTATATCATCCAAATAAATTAGGTTAATTATTTATAGGGAGGTCCACATTAGGAAATAATTTCCTAAGTTACCTTTGCATTTTATTAAATCTAAATTAGGAAACCGATTTTCATTTTTGGTAAGTGACTTCAAAATAAAGAAATTGATTTTCAAATTAGGAAACCGATTTCCAAAGTTGATAAATGATTTTCAAACTAAGAAATTGATTTCTAAAATAGGAAACATTTTTTAAAACCTTCGTTTTTCTTTTTTGGGTGAATGTTTAAACTTATGCATGTGACACAATAGGCTTTTAGATTTATTAGCAATGTATTGAAAAGATAAAAGACACTTTTTTATCATTAATACATAAATCAAGATTAGCCTTTAGCAAGACATCATGACTACTCGATTCTCTAAAAGGATTACTTAATCTGTAGTAACCATTCATGAGTATGGTTTCCATATAATTCGATCCTCATGTCAATTTATCATAGTGTGATCTCGAACTTAGTTTGTTATTTTTTCGATTATGATCACATAAGTTTTCTTTAATTTTTAAATGTCTTAGCTCTCAAGTAAACCAACTATGTTCTATTGATATACTTCCACTATAGCTACAGATTCTTAAGTATATATTCATTGAAATACAATGTGATGACTCCTTTAACATATAAAGAATGACATATCCTATCTCATTCATCCATATATCTTCATTAGATTTCTAATGTGCCCAATGAATTTCTCATATGCGACTCTTTACTCGAGCCCATCAAAACAAATGTCAAAGTACATCAATCCTCTAATGAGATAATCGTAATGACTTCAAGTCAAACGACTACTTATACCCATCTCATATGAGATTTCTATATATAATGCTAAATGGGTTCTCATGGTGACTCACGTACGGTGATATGTTATCTAACATTATTCACCTGTATGATTGCTTTGGCATCATCATGCTAGTAGATGTGAGATCTCCTATTACTATCTTATAGCAAAAACATAGCACTCACAAGTCTTATCGTATATTATCAATGTCTAATCTTAACAATGCTATAACTTGAAATATTTAATAATATCATTTATATGCATTGATATTTATCTCATATTTATTGATCATTCATTAATACATGCATATCATATGGATTTCTAACGAATTCTATCCAATTATAAATAAAAAAATTAATAAATAGACTTCTTTATTATTATTGAAAATGTAATGATACAATATATCAAATCATCTAAACGAGTTGGATCTTAGACACCTACACTAACAATCTCTCACTTACACTAGAGCCAATTAGCCATGTCCCTAATGCCCAACGATCGAACAAGGGTTTTATATTTTTGTCGTGACAAAGGCTTAATCAAGGGTTACGCTATATTGTTGTTAGCGTGAACCTTTTCTATCATTATATCACTATGACTAATGATCTCGCTAATTATGTGATAACGTTACGAGTACATGCTTAAACCATTGATGAAACCTTGGCTCCTTAACTTGCATCATGGCTTTGTTGTTGTCATAATACGAGTACTACAGGATCAACAATGCTTGGAATAACTTATAATCTAGATAGAAATTTATGAATCCATATAGCTTTCTTAGCTAATTCCGCAACAATAATATATTTAGCCTTGGTTGTTGAGTCGGTTATTATTTCTTCCTTAGAACTCTTCTAACTTATAGCAA